TATCTATAGTGCTTTTAAGCAAGCATAATGTAGTTTTCTTATTTATCTCTTTTAATCAAGTCTATTTTTTACTGTTACTGTTTTTTACTCTTGTCTGAGGTCATGATTACTACTTTTGTAGTAGGTTTTAGTCTTTAGATCCTCATTTTAACTATGAATCTATTTGTTTCAAGTGTATTTCTTGTCAACAACATTGTTGGGTTCTGGTTTCTAGTCCGTTCTGCTACCCCTCTCTATTTTTGGATGATTTAATCTCATTCACATTCATAGTAGTGACTGTTGATTGTGTATTTATGTTCATTGAGTCCTGACGTACTTTTTCCTCTCTGTCACCCATTCCACTCTTCTAATTTACAAAGGAGATGGTGAAGGAGGAGTGTGCTTTAAACAGGGTATATTTCCAACAAAGGCATTATTGGTTCTGAGGGTATAATTATTTTTAAAACCTTTACTGCATATTGCAAGATTGTGCTACAGAAAGATTTTACAAGTTTGCAATTTCACCTGTTATGACTGAGTATACTTGTTTGCCACAATCCTACATGCACCTAGTTTCATTATTCATTATTTTTGTCCATTTGATGGATATGAGATAAAATTTCAAGTTTGTTTTGATCAATACCAATTTTTTTTCTCAGAAAAACTATTAGATAATATTCCATATTTCGCTGTATTAATCTATATGCCATAGGGATTATTTTGTTCTTGAAAATTTTGAAAAGATTTTGCAGCTGGGCATCTAGGTGGTACTGTGAATAGAGTGCTGGGCCTGGGGTCAGGAAGACCTGAATTTAGATCTGGCCTCAGATATTTACTAACTGTGTGACCTTGGGTAAGTCACTTAATTTCTGTTGCCTCAATTTCCTCAACTCTAAAATGAAGAGAATAACAGCACCAATCTCCCAGCATTGTTGTGAGGATCAAATGAGATAATATTTCTAAAATGTTTTTAGCAAAGTGCCTGGTACATAATAGGTGCTATATAAATGCTAATTATCATAATCATTAACTTCATTATTATTATTGTGAAACTATCTGGCCCAAAAGTTTGTTCATGACTGTGTGTGTGTGTGTGTGTGTGTGTGTGTGTGTGTGTGTGTAATTCTTTGATGGCTTTTATCCTCCTTGTAAGACTGATCTATTTAAATTAGTCAGATACAAAATTCTCTGACTTGTTAGAACATAATTATATGTAACATTCCCTAATAATCTTAATTTCTTTTGTTTTCAGTAACCTCCTCCCCCTGTTCCATTTGTGACTTTGTTGTTTTTAATTTTTTTCTCTCCTTCTTTTAAAATGAAATTTGTTAATGGTCCATCAGTTTTATTGGCTTTCTCAAAGAGCTGACTCCTGGTTTTATTTACCAATTCAATTGTTCAACATTATTTTCTTGTATATTTATTTTGGCTCCTGGGTTAATAATGTTTCTCTCTCTTCTAAACTTTCTTTTGAATTCCTGATTTGTTCCATCATTGGATTTTAGAGTTGGAAGGGACTTCAGCATTATTCAACAAGTCCAACTCTTATATCAAAAATTTATCCCTATCATATTTCCAATAAGTGGTCATCTAGCTTCTGCTTGAAAACCATTTCTAATTTTTTTTAGGTCTAATCTTAATTAACTTATTTTCTTTTTTTCTTTTCATTATTACAGCTGCTAAATAATATAAATTTGCCTATAAAATCTGCTTGGCTATAACCCAGAGATTTGGCTATGTGGCACTATTATTGTCACTGACTTTTAAATAATCCATCGTTTTCTGATTTCTACTATCCAACCATTATTTAAGAAACTGTTTTTCATTATCTATGTAGTTTTATAATTTTTGTTGATATTATTTATTATTAGTATTATGTAATTCTATGATTACATTAAGGTCTGAAAATAGAGTATTGTTGATTTCTGCCTTTTTGAATTTATGTAGTGTTCCTCTGTTTAAATTATAAAAAATTTTGTTTTTAATTTATGAAATAAAACAAGCATTTCTATAACATAGTATAATAAAAAAGATGATTGCACATAAAACTGCAAATCTATTATGTACAACTTGCTATTCCCTTTGAATATATAATAAAATTCTCATTAAATTTCTTTTTCCCCCCTTTTTTCTCCCCCATCCTCGTAGATGACCACCATTCTGCACAAATATGTACATGTGTGTAAGATCGTTCTATACATACTTATATTTATCAGTTCTGTAGTCTCTTCCTTCATGTGTCCTTTGTAGTTAATTTGGGTATTTATAATAGTCAAAATGACGGTATGCAATGCTCTCTATGACCTATAACATGATAGGTTTTTGTGAGCATTCCATGTATACTTGAAAAGACTATTATCTACTTCTTCTATTTACTTCTTTGCATATAATTAATGATCCCAACATATTAAGTAGTCAAATAAATGATTTATTATGAATATTTTTATTTGTTCTGTTATATTCTGAAGTGTTGGGATTCCTTAATATTAATACATTTTAAAATATTTTTTCTTCTCACACAGCTAATCTTTTAAAAACTTAACTGTCAAATTGTTTTGCACATGGAAATTGAGAGTTTTATGTATTTGTTATTTTTTCCTTTCACCATTAAATAATGTCTTTTTCTCTTTCGATCTTTTCCAAGTTGAATTCCTCTTTATCAGGTATCATTACTGCCACTCTTTTTTTTTTTGGAGTTGCTTTTTATTTTAGACCAACTTCTTAATTTTAGGCTAGCTGAAGTGTTTTTTTTTTTTTTACATCACATGAGCAACTTAATGCTGGATTTTATAACTTGATTCATTCTATAATTCTTTTTTTTTAAATAGGAGAATTTATGCCATTTGTGCATAATGTTATGAGTAATAAATTTGATGTCTTGTCATTTTCTTCTTGGCATGGTCTAGAAGTATGAAGTGCATCTTAATCTCATTATTTCAAGTATTAAGACTAGCAAATAAAGCAAATTGTATTTGTGGGTTTTAAAAATTATTAAAATACTTACTTCAGGATGAATAAGTATATTTTTGGATTTGGGAAGGCAGAACTAGCTACCTTGACTTCTCTACTCTGCCTTCTCCCAGGACGTCCTTTAAAGAGATAATTCTTCAAGGCTGTTCTTGGAATGGTTTAGAATTAGGGAGGTAGATAGTGTCAATACTCTCTAGGCACATTCTACATCTTAGACATGTAATGAATGTATTCTAGACCTAGTGATGTTTTTTCCATTCCTTAGGCACCAGGAACTCTCTAAAATCCAGCCTCTGAGGATTTCACAATGATATTAATGTCTTAGGTTGCAATCCCGGAGTACTGGCTTGGAGAAGAAATCTGGATATCTTTCCAAGACTGTCTTCTATTGCCTCTTAACATAAAACATAGAATCTTGGCATTTAAAATCCTGAACAAGTTGATTACTTTCCAGTCCTATTTCATACTGCTTCATTTCACACATATCCTGTTCCAATCGGACTGTTCTTCTAGCTGCTCCCTGTACATGTCATTTCATGATCTACCCCTATGTTTTTTCACAGGTGGTTCTCCATTTCTGGAATCCCCTTCCTCCTCACCTTTGCCTCTTAAAGTACCTAGCTTCCTTCAAGGCTCAGGCTTGGTGATACCTTCTCCACAAAGTCCGATATCTCCACTTGTTAGTACTGTCTCCCAAGGTGGCAAAAGGGATAGAGCCCGGGGCTTGGTGTCAAGAAGCCTTGAGTTCAAATCTGGCCCCAGACGCTTACCCTTGGCAAGTCACTTAACTTCTGCTTGCCTTGGTTTCCTCATCTGTAAAATGGGGGTAATAATAACATCTACCTTGTAGGGTTGTTGTGGGGATCAAATGTGATAATAATTGTAAAGAGCTAGACATAGTAAGTTCTATACAAATATTAGCTATTAATAAAATTACTTTGCAAACATTTTGTAATTATTTATTTTTATACATATAATATCTTCCCAGCAGATTATAAGCTCCATGAGGGCAGGGGCTGTTTCAGTTTTGACTCAGTTACTTTTTAAAGGCCTATTCCTCTCAGAGGGTATAAAAAGTATACGCCTCAAAGTTCTCTGATAGAATGACTCAAAAGTAAAAATAATCACTTGAGGACCACTATCAGGTGCAGCTAAAGAATGTGTCCTTGTGGTCTTTACCTTTAGTTTGCTCATGGTCGTATGAGGCCTGGAGCAATGGGTCCAGGGAAAATTACTGCCCAAATGGTTAATTCTGAACAAGTAGGTAAACTATAACAGCACATGCAACTCCAAAGGCACAGTGCACAATACACTATCACATTATCCAACTTAAATTAGCTATTGATGTGTTCTTGCTTCTTGCTCAAAGGAATTGATGTTGGCAGAGAGTGTGAGACATTTTATAATAAGGTCAAGGGAAGGAGAATTTATAATTGTACTTGTTTATAATTGTACTCCTTATTTCAATTTGGTTTTAGCCTCAAGGCTGAGACATACAATGAGTCACTTGTACCATTTTGTTGATCTGCATAGACTATTTTCTAGTATGCTTTGTAGAGTCTACTCACTGGGAAAAACAACAAACAAAAACAACAACAACAACACTATATACATACTTTTTGCACGATGAATTCGACTATTGTTGGTACCATAGGTATGTTGGGAAGTGTACAGACGAAAAAGTTGAAGTATAGTGATTTTCATTGACATCTAACATTTTATAAGAAAGTATTGGCAGAATTTCTGTTTGATTAGTCAATCTCTGAACCGAGTTGTCTCCTAATCTTATCTCATTGACTCTGTAACAACAGTACTGTAACATGCTTTTTAAATGAGATATTAATTCTACTAAAATGAGGTTGTGTAGCAGGCATACTTTGCAAAGTATGTATAAAAAAGTTTGACAATTGTATTCTTGTTTCTGGTTATTATTATATGTTTGGGTCTCTTAAAACATTTTACTAAGTGGGCTCTGATAAGTCCTGGATTGTTTATGCAGTTTTAATGACTTAAATGGTCTATTTCCCTGACTAAAATCTTTGATGTCATAGATTAAAACCCTGGAACAGACCAAAACCATCGAAAACCTAAACAAATCCAGGGGTAAACTGGAGAAGATGAAGGAGAAGGTGGAGAAACAGTTGATATCTGTTAAGTCAGAGCTGGATATAACTGAACACGAAGCAAAGGAAGATCAAGAGAGAGCTAGAAACATGCTAGATGTCGTCACCAGTGAAATGAAGACACTGAAGAGCACATTGGAAGAAACAACCAAAAGAGAGAAGCAGGTTTGTAAGCATTTGTTGACTAGGTGATCCACAGAGAAGGCCTCCTAGAAAACAAAAGCTTCATAATATTAATCAACTCTTTAATCTGCCATACTTCTCATATTTATCATTATCTGGTTTTTTTTTTGCATTAACATTTTTACTTTGCTAAGAGTTTTTTTATCAAATTTTCATGGGATGAGGTTCTGGGAGTACTAATTTAAAATGGATGTTCCTAGCTTCTAAAGGTTAACAAGCGCTTGATTGACAACCCTAGGATATAGGAAATGTAACTCAAATTTAAAACTTGAAGGGTCACAAAGTGCTTTCTGAAAGGCAATGAGATCCCTGTAAAAGTTAAATAGAGCCTTTGACCAAACTTAAATATTTTCTGCAACTATCCTCACCATTTGCATCATTCTTGAGATTGCTTAGGATTTAAAAAAGTCAACCAGTACCCCAGCATTGAGAGGGGAGACTTATCTCTGACAGGGATCTGTTGAAGGAAACTGACCACAAAATCTCAAACAGTGGCACAGAAAATTGATGAAAGACCAAGCACATATGTAAACCGTAAAAAAAGGACTCATTCACTTGTTAGTTTTAAGTAGGAGAGTTTATCTGGCAGCTACATCGGAAGGTCAGTCTCATAAAGAAACATGTACCGGGCAGCCTGACCCCCATTGTTTCTGTCTTTCATCTCTCCCTCTTTCTAGAGCTCCAAAGGGTGGACACTGAGCCTAATGCTTTTGCCCCCTTTTAGTTGGCTCTGCTCATACTCGGGTCAATGTAGGGATTGCTGTTCTTTAAATGTTTGGTAGAATTCACTCATAACTCCATCCGGTCCTGGCAGGTTTATGGTTTGTTCAATTTCTTTTTCTGATATTGAGCACCTAGATTATCTGCTCTGAGAAGAGAGGAAACAACAGAAATAGAGCCTTGTCTACATTAAGAAGAAAAAAGAAGAATCTGAGGGAAGATTTTTCCTCCCTGAGACTAAGTACTAAAGAAGAGTCTATATTTTTGAAACTTTAAGCTCAGCTCTTAAGAGCAAGTTATAGGGAGTATGAAATTATGGGTAGAAAAAAAATCTCACAATAGAAACAACTTTACCAAATATGAGTAGCTGAAACATGTAGAGAATGCAAGATCCCGCTATGCTTATTGTTTGACTATTAAAAAAAGACCTGCTGTGATAGAGCAAAACCCTGCTTTAAAGCCTTTTCTTCAACAAGGTATGTCGCAAGCATATGTCAAAATTAAACAGGATTTCTTGAAATAAATAGCAGAAAATAGCTTTGTTCTGATTATTAATGTCAAGCAAGATAGAAATTGAGGAGACATATATTTGTCAAAGACTGGAGAAGGTCCAAGAGAATCCAAGTTTAAGAAGGATTCTTTATAATTGTTGAGCTTTTCCAGAAACTCCTGTGTGGGGTAACATTGTGATTATTAAATCAAGCCCAGGAAGATTGCGGAGTCTCTTAAATGAGATCCATACTCATCTAAAAAACTAACTTAACTATCTACATAGGACAAACTAAGTGGATGGAGATTGTCTGTAATACAGCATTGGATTTTAAGTTTTATGTAAAATCTGACTAAAATATTGAACACTTAGGCTCCAAAGGACCATCGCTAGTTATCTCTTTCCAGATTGACATCTGTCCATTAATCATTTTTCTCATATACAGGCAACCAGTTTTGGATACACTTATAAGAACTCTTGATCATGTAGTTCATATCTCTTCATATTATCTACAAGATGTGAGAAATTTTATCAAATGTTTTGGTAAAATCTAGGTATGCTATACCTATGGCATTTTCATCAGTATAGTAATCCAGTCAAAAAAGGAAATGAAGTAAGTCTGGCATGAACCATTATTGATGAAAGCATATTGGTTTAGTTATCATTGCTTCCTTTTCTAAACACCCAGTAACTGTCCCTTCCATAATGTGTTGTTCAAGAATCAAAAATGAGTTCATCTGCTTATGGTTTGAAGGGACTTTTGTTTTTTTTCCTTTTTGAAAATAAGGTCATCATTTTCAATCTTGTGGCACCTCTTTCAGCAGTCACATTAATCTATTCTTTCAGTACCCTCAGATATAATTTATTTAGACCTGATGACTTGAAGGCAACTAGGTACTGTCTTACATATCTCTTGACTTATCTTGGCTTTTAATGCCTTGTTAATTGTTTTTGCTGTTCTCCCAGTTTTACTATTGTTTTCTTTTGTATAGAAAATAGAAGCACAATAGGAGATGAGTAGTTCAACCTTCTTTCCATTGTTCATTGTAATCATTCTATCTACTTTGTTAAGTATTCTTATCATTTTTGATCTTCATCTTGAAGATATTTTTCTTATTTTTAGCATTCTTTAATATCCTCAAATTATTCTGAGCCTTATTTTTCTTGACATGATTCTTACAGTACTATGCTAAAGTTTTATATTTATCTTTAGCAACCTGCCCTATTTCTATATTCTGTATGTATCTTTAAAATATTCTAAATTGGTTGCTGTATCCTATACATATTTCCGTGGATCTCTTTAGACAAGTCCTTCTTTTATTCCTCATCAGATTTAGTTGTATCATCAAATATGCAACTTTCTATGTTGTCTGGTACTGAAGCAAACAAACTTAATCTCTCTTCTAAATGACAGCCCTTAAGGTATTTGAACAGAGAACTATCATGCTTTACATAAATCTTCTCTCCTCCTAGCTAAATCATTCCCTGTTCCTTTAACCAATCTTATCTCAAAGTTTTGAATCCTTTCATCACCCTGGTTATATCACTGTGGATTTGCTCCCTCTTGCCTGTCTCTTAAATGTGGCACTCAGAAGCAAGTGCAATCTTCCAGATGAGGACCAATCAGAGTTGGCACATGGTAGAACTATCACCTCCTTTGCTATAGATACTGTAGTACTATGAATGCAAGCTAAGATTGCATTCTGTTTGAGTTATCAACCTGTTGGGAAAATGCCTTTTTTTGTAGTTACTTGAGTTGATCCTTAGACATCAGATACAAATTGTTATGGTGTTTATATTGGAAACCTTTCCACTTTGGTAGAATCTGCTATAGCTTATGTTCCATTCATATAGCTTTCAAGAACCCAGAGTTATCTTTACGCCACAATGAGACATTGGCATTGGATTTTATCCTATTGGCTGGGATAGGCTGCTCCATTATCTAGCGTTTCATATGGAGCTTTCAGTCCACAAAACCCTTAGTTTTTTTAAAAATTGTTTTCTCGCTGTATTTTTCCCATACTGTACTCTAACAGTTGAATTATGAATCCAAGTGCAGAACTTTACATTTTTTTCTAGGTAAATTTCATCTTGTCAGTTCTGCCATTTTGTTATGACTTGTAGCCACCTTTTTGGTTCCTTAGTCTATCATTCAATGTATCTCTAACAGTTTCATCTCATCCATAAGTGTGATAAATATGCCATCAGTACCTTCATCTAAATAGCTAGACAAGTTGGCTTTTCTTTTTGGTGATGTCATTGATAACCTTCAGTCGTTCCTGTCTTCTATGAATTTGCCCATTTGATCGTCCTCTCTTCCAGTTTTAGACTTCTTCTTATTCTTATACAATTTCTTGTTATTGTCTTTTATTTTGTCCACAATCATACCCAGATCACCCCATCCTTAACCAAAAAATCTTTTGGTGATCATCTCTTCTCATCAAGCTACCATTATGTATCTCTCGTGGCTCACAGCAATTTTTAGGTAAGCTAAGGAGGTCTTCCAACATGATGTTGGTAGTGCTGCTGGAAAAGAGGCAGGGCAAGAGTGTGTGGCTGTTGATAGCCATGTGGTGGGAGCAAGTAGAGGACTGATCTGTAGACTTTGTGGGTTGGGAAAGTTGGGAAGTTGTAGGTAGGGAAAGGAAGTAGAGCTGGTGGGTATGTTTGGGGCGGAGCTAAGCAACAGCAGGAGAGAACATGGAGGTGCTCAGTGATCTAGGGCAAATATAGGTAGGTGTCTGCTCTGGAGGATGCTCGTACTTATCCACAAGGGAAAGTTTTTCTAATACCCCTTTGTTTTCCATGGTTCTTGGGATGAGAGAGCAACCTTGTTTTCTTTCTCAGTGGCTTGTTAAACCACGAGTCTTTGGCCATTCTTCCTTATGAGTTTGGGTGAGAAGATTGTGGGTGAGGCACCCAGAAGAAACACAAGCATTCAAAGGATCATAGGTCAGGCAGTTTAATTACTCACAGACACATAAGTCTTTGGTTCCTCCACCCTTCATTCCCAGAGGCAAGCATGGGATGTGGTGCGGGCATGTGATGAGATGTGAACCCCAATCAACAGTGTAGAACTCTGGGTCTCTGTTATTGCATGTTGATGGTTGCTGGGCTGGAGGGGGGCCCTTAGAAATAGTCAATCAGTAGGAAGCCTGACTTGCAACCCTCCTTCCATTTATTGATCAAAAGGGCATTATGAATAGGAAACTTTGCTAACCTTTCATACACTGATTAAATGAAGTTTGCTAAATTGATTATAACCAAGAGAGCCCAATATCCCTTGTTTAAATGAAGCTGACTAAACCAGTTATTGGGTACATAGAAACTTTCTGATGTATAAGCTGGTCAATAAGTGGTCAAACTCAGACTCACTTCTGTCTGCTAAGACCTAGCAATAGGCCAGTCTTCACAGTTTGCCTTAATCTTTATGTTATTACAATATCAATTCACGGTTCAGCTGTGTATACTAGTGCTTTGGATAAATTGTTGAGAGGATGAGTTGGAAAAGATCCAGATGGAAAAGAGATTTAAGACTGTAATATCTTCCAGAATAAGATTTCTGGAGGAGGCCTCACATTTAAAGGAGAAAAGTTATCAACTTATTTGAATAACTTCCAAGAGCAGAGAGAATGAATCCCTTAGGGTTTCTTTGAGCATCAAAATGAGCTAATAACAGTGTGGGAGTAGTAGCTGGAGAGGCTATTACCTCCTTGCCACATGGCTAGTTTAAAAAGAAACCAGAAAGGAAGGATCTGAGGAAAGGCTGTGA